AGTTCAAATTGCTGGCAGGCATACTTTGTTTTTGGTGTTTCTACTCTCTGTTTTCATGATGTTTCCAGAACCCAGTTACCTATGTTATCCCATGTGCGTGTGGACACAAGCATTCACACACATACACACATGCACATGGTCATGCTTCTTAAGTGATTTACACTAGCTTTTGTGTTTTTTTTGTTTTTGTTTTTGTTTTGAGAAAGCAGGATTTATTAAGAGGGCAGAAAACCTCCCACAGTAAGAGGGGACCCAAAGGGGTTGCCCCAGTTTCTGGTACTTTTAATGTTGAAGTTACAGTAATAAAAATTGGTGCCTTTTCTTTTTGCTGTCACCCACGGATGAAACGGTGGGATTCTTTGTCCATCTTATAGACTCAGCAGCATGCTTCCCTGCATTTGGGAGGAAAAAGTCTTGGGCCTCCAGGAGTGCCCCTGGCTGGGTCTATGTGACCAACTAAGTCATTTGGTGCATTAGGGACTATCCGTAGGATGAGTGTGGGCAAATGTGGGATAAGGAATGCAGGTCTTCCTTTTTTGTGAATTCTGGTCTACCTTTTTGGATTTGAGAAAGAATCAGGCAGGGCATTTACAAATTTGTTGCAATTGAATTTTCCTCTGGTTGGCTCCATCTGGGTCAGACCCAGCCAACTTGATGAATCAGTGGTACCACCTTGAGCAGCCAAACTGACAAGAGCTCTGAAAATGGAGAAAGGCATCATTTAAGGGCAGTCACTCTTCTGCCACCAGGGCTGTACTCCACCACTCCTGGATTATGTTGTTACTTAAGGAGACAAGTGTTGGTCAACCTTGCCTCTCCAGGAAGTTGTATCAGGATTGTGTTTTCTATCTCTCTGTTGAGAAGCCAGGCCATGTACAGCATTGAGCATGTTATTCAAGGGTTATTTGTAAAGGCAAATTGATCCCCTCATCATATCTTGAAGAAACAAGAAGGTTATTTTTAGAATCATAGATAATTATTATTAAGACTCTGTGGCAATGTAAGGAGCCTTACATAACTTCTGAATCCTCAAGGAAACTTGCTGATAGCCAGTGACATTTTCATGGTGCATATTGTTATGTTATTCTATTTTTTTGATGCTTGGTACATCATTTTTAGGAGAGGAGTTGGTGTTCTGCAAGGGATACCGGATGGGGAATATGGAGACATGGGTGCTAATCCCCAAGCCTGCCAGGGTTTCAATTTCAACTCCTGTAAAATAGTAGGTGAGATCACCCCTAGGACTCTCCCAGCCCTGACAATCTAGAATTTTACCCACCTCGGGTAACCCAAATGTCTAATTAAACAGAATTTTCCACTTCCCAACTCTGCCAGATAAGTGAGAGAACTTACAGTATGAATTGAAAGTCCTGAGCCAATGAGGAAAGTCTACCCACATCCCAGACTGCCTTCTGCTTGTTGATGTCAGAATGAGAGTTATTGTGAGGAATCAGAGAAGGACGGAAAAAAGAACAACGTGTACCTGGCAGAATTTGTATATCAGTGTGTTACCATTTGCCAAAGTGTTCTTGAAAGTTAAATCTTCCATTACATAACTTTTCATCACTTTGTTAAAAATGTTCCAGTTGGGTTGGCATATTTTATGATTTCCCTTGCTTCAAAGATAAGCGCATTGTCAAAGAGTAGACTAAAACTCCCAGGTAGTTTTGAATTGAAAAGATTGGGGTTAAGAGAGAGAGGCCAAAAGAGAAGGCTGTGAAAAACCGCTGTCATTTAAAATATTTAGGATGTAAGATGACATGTGTCTCAGATAATGAGATTGATAGTTAATTTCAAAAACCTTACAGTCCTTAAATAGGTAGCTTTCCATGAATGCAAACATCTGCAAAGTTTTGGAAAATTAAGGGACAGGCTGCATCATGCATGTTCGGCCTTTTTCTGCATTGAGGTGAGCCTCAGTCAGTTCCTTCCACTCATTGACAACATGCTCTGTTGCCGTGTGGGATGCAGCATTCCTGCAAGCTGGCATAAAAAGGCACTTCCTTTCAATTCTGGTCACAAATGGGTCTGTTATTTGTTTTAAACCAAAAATAAGTATTAATTTTTTTCTCCCACGGCTTATGTGCAATTCATGGCAAACTTACTTTGTTTTTTAAAACACTGAAGACACTGTTAACTGATAATGTACATATAGAATTCAGACTGGGAGATTATTAATTACTCTACGTCACACCTCTCAGCTCTATGTACACAGTTTTGAATTAAATATGTGGGAATTTAACTTCCCTGAATCTGAACAAGGATATGGCTATACTTACAAAACTCTCCAGAGATTTTTCTTTTATAAACACTTTTACTTGTAAAGTACTTATACAATGGCAATAGTCCACTAGTAAAATAAGCCCTTGCTAGTAAGAATACCAAGATTATTTTGGAAGAAGCAACCTGGAATGGATTATCTGACTTGTGAACACTTTTCTAAAACGAATGTGATGCATACACCCAAATAAACACAATTAGTTAAACATTTTAAAGGGTTGTCTTAGCAAATGCTTGATTTTCCTATTGTTTGGGGAAAAAATATGGTTATTCAGTTCAGGTAAGCAGTTTTTCTACAGTAGTACTTACAGAGACGTAGTATAACATCGTCCTCCAGGGGGCGTTAAATCTTCAGCAAAGCTTCAATTTCACCGGAAAGGCATTCCATTCAATGAGCAAAGGCAGAGTCTGGCTTCCTTCTTGCTGGAGGGCTGGAGTAAATTCTAGGGCCCATATCCTAAACTTTACACTGGGGAGTTGTTTCAGGCTTCTAGAATAGCTCTTACCCTTTTCAGTAACTCTAAGATGGGTGTGAAAAGCCTATGGCTCTGGGGGTGTGTGCCATGAGCCAAGCCTAACTAGGTTGCTGTGAGTGCCTTGCCACAGGTCTTGGATTTGCCCTGATTGTCTCTCCTTTAAATAAACCTTCACAAAAGGAGGAACAACTGACTCTGAGCACTACCAGCCGTGGGTGGGAGGGATAAGGGGCACACAACCATTCACTGGGTACCATGTCCATCCCCAGGGGAAGAGCAGGCTTGCTAGAAGCTCAAACCTCACCTGCACCCAATTTACTTATGTAGCAAATCCTCACACATGCCCCACAACTCTAAAAAAAAATTAAATTAAAAAAGAAAAACAAGAAACTGTTGCTAGGTAGAAACTCTGGGACTTTCCAAGGACAGACGTGTGTTTCTTAGATACCCAAAGACAACCTAGCAGGGGTTGGAGAAGGCTGTGTGTGTGCCTCAAAATGGCAGAGAATCTGTCTTCCCCACATAAGTTTCACAGAGGCCTATTCTTGGTCCTATTTTTAAGTGAAACCATCCCTTAGGAGGCCGCAAACCTACAGGTCAGTAGAACCAGAAACTTTTAGGTAATAAAGTCGAGATTGTGAGGCAGCCCAGTGAGCCAGAGGACCATAACTTCTGGAGTTCATAGACTAGATTTCAGTATCTGTATACTTTTTTTTGAGTCAGGTCATCACTCTGTTGCCCAGGCTGGAGTGCAATGGCATGATCAGGGCTCACCACAGTCTTGACCTCCCAGGCTCATGCAATTCTTCCACCTCTGCCTCCCAAGTAGCTGGGACTACAGGCGCATGCCACTATTCCTGGCTAATTTTCTGATTTTTTTTTGTTGTTGTTGCTACGTTGCCCAGGCTGGTCTCAACCTCTTGGGCTCAAAAACAATCCTCCTGCCTTGACCTTCCAAAGTGCTGATATTACAGGCATGAGCCACCATGCCTGGTCAATACTTCTAATACACTCTAAAATCCTAAATTAGTTACTTAACTCCTGTGTCTCTGATTCCTCACTCAGAAAAGACTATCTCATGGGGTAATTGTATGAATTAATGAAGACAATCCAAAGAAAGTCATTGGTGCATAGTAAGAGTTCTATTATTATTATATCCTACTGTATATTATATATTATATTCTATTATAGTAAGAATTCCTATTGGTCCTTAGTCTGGAACAGAGATCCTTAGTGTATGACTCCAACCTTGTCACTATCTTCTCTATATAGACTCCTTCATTTCAAATATCACCCTGTACTTTTATCCCTTTGTTCCTTCTGCTTCCTCTATCTTCCCTACCTCATCACCTCATGAAATCCCACCTAAATTTAAGGATTATCTATAATTGCATCTTAAAACCCCAAATCCCACCATTCCCTGCTCGAAGAACCCAGTGTGCTTTCTCCCACCTCTGACCAATGACAAGGATATAATATCTTTATCATGTGGCAGATGCACGGCTGTATGTATATTTCAAAACTCGTAGACTGTACACTTAACATGGATGCATTTTTAACATGTAAGTTATACCTCTATAAGCCAACTCAGTAGGAGCATACTATGAGGACTTGTCTTTGGAGACAGAAAGAACTGGTTCAAATGTAAGTTCTTTCTACCTGGCAATTCATTAAAACCTTTTCACTTATAGTCTCCTCCTAAGTAAATAAAGCAGTTGTCACTTTCTCTTCTTGTCCTGAGAGTTTAGAGACACAATAACAGTATACAAAGACCTCGCACAATGCTTGCACACAGTTGATGCCACATGATTATGGGACCTTCCTTTTTGGTGTAACTATTTCTATATTTGTCATCCATCCCGTCTACCAGAAGGTAATCTTGAGGACAGAATGTGTGCTATCTTTTATCATTTTCGTTTTGTCCAGCATGGCGTAGAAGAACAATAAGTATTTGTTCTCTCTAGCGAATTATACCTATTTTTGAAGAGTAAACACCAAAAGGCATCCTGACTTAAGTCTCTGCAGGATGCCACATTTGTGTATAATCGCCTAGTAAAGCTCAGTATTTTAAAGCCTGACAGATGCTTAACTTGGCCAATAATTCAGTTATGACTCCCCAGTGTACAGCAGGGCTTAATAACACATTTTTCATTATGATAGTGCTTTAAGTTCACAAGGGTTGTCTGTTTTTCTTTAGGGCGAGTGGAATGACTATACTATTTTCTTGACCAATAAGTCACTCTGTTTTCCATGGTTCAAAGTTAAGCTTTTATTTGGCTTTAAATTAAAAAAATAAATTTCATTATTAAATAGTGGGATGGATCTAACTAATGATCAGATAGTAGCTTACTCAGGAATATACCACTGGGGGTACAATTAAGGGTTGGGTCACCTCAACTAAAAGTATCTGTCATGTTGTAGTGTTGGTTAAAAGCTCAACAGTGGCATAATTCAAAAGAAACTGAAATACAAAGTTTCAAACGTTTACAATGGATGGGAGAAGTAAACCACTTATTCTACTGCAACTGCAAACTACTTTCTTTCTCAATGCCAGTCAATTTGGACACTATACCACAGTGCTTATGTCATCAGGTTCATCGGCTTTCTTTTGCCTGCTTGGCAGGGATTTCAAGTATTCAAGGTGTCTCCGGGCATCCTCTTGATTTTGCCTCACATAATATACCACGTATGATATCACCATGGTGAACCAGCCGAACATGGTGACCAGCATGGCATAATCAGTAGTTTTTTTAGGGAGGTTACAAAGGTCAGCATCATTGGCAGCATTGAGGAATGGTCTCCCGGCGTGCTCATCCAACACGGAGGTCTTACAGATCACATTGTGGGCTGTCTCGTGATTGGACGCCATGCTCCTCAGAACTTGCTGTAGGGTACAGTCGCAGTGCCAGGGGTTGTTGGCAATTCTGGCCCTGGCCTTCAGGTTATTGAAGGCATTTTTGTGCACACTTTGAATCCGATTGTCGGACAAGTCCAGCGTCTGCAAGGTTTCAGCTACCCCTTTGAAGGCGTGCTCATCAATAAACTCAATGCCATTTTTGGACAGGTTGAGAACTCTCAATTGATGGAGGTCCTTAAAAATCTCATTGGGAATAGATGTGATCTGATTGGAGTCCAGATACAATAAGACTGTTTCGGGAGGAAGATCTCTAGGTATTTCCTTGAGATTTGCATTGCTACAGGTGACATTTAAACCTCCAGAGGAAGAACATAGACAGCCCTTGGGACACATACTGGCAGAATGAAAGCACAGTATCATGAGAACAAAACTTTGTAGGAGGAGACACATGGAGAGGGAACGGGTTAACCACAGGTCTACCAGATTCATGCTGGAATGTCAGCATAATCATGAACCCATTCCTCATTTACTCCAACAAGCGTGGCAATGGTTCCAGCCCTGTCTACACTGTTGATTTCCTTCTCTCGTGGTTCAAAAGGCTGCAACTACCACATGGGTCTCTTCATTATTCCTGGCCTTGCTTGGGCACCTGGAAGAAAGGGAGATGGATGCAATTAGCTCTTTTGCAAAGGGGGTGCATTGCAATTAAAGACTCTCGGGGTCTGCTGTTCTATGTGGGCAGAAGGGTTAGTTATGCAGGTAATTTCCATCAAAGCCACTGGGAGTCATCTGTGAAATGGGAGTATCCTGCTCAAATCCCAGGTGCTGGGAGAGAGAAGTGTCAATAAAGGAAAGCCTTTCCAAATTCTGTTACCTTGTTTTGGGTTGTGCAGAATTATACCAAACACTTCCTATTTATCTCATCTCTACAGTTCCTCTTCACATCCTGGACCCCTTCTAATTCTACAGCAATAAAATTTAATCATGTCTTTTCACCCTTTCTACAATAACAGATGCATTAATGCAATTTAGCCCTGCACTTGGGCAGCAATGAGAAATAATACCTATATTTCATGGTTAATGACCATAGACAGGAATATCTGTCATGGCTTTTGAATAGATGCCCAATTTGGAATGTTGTCTAGAAGGAAACTGCTTACTTGAATTAAGAAAAGAATAAATGCATTCCAACCTTCACAACAAAGTACTGCCGGGGGTTGACAACCAAGACGCTCCAGAAGAGCTACCTCCCTTGTGACCTCCTGAAATTACATTAGACCTGGGAGGATGCCTTTAACTGAATTTCCAAAGGAGTCTCTCTCTGTTTTCTATACAAAATATCCCCTGCCCAATAGATCTCCAAATGTGACACACATGTACAAGATTTTTTTTATATAAGAGAATTAAAAAATTCTAGCCTCGATGACTTCCTCAATAGACTATTTTTCCTTTTCCAAATATGCGTGTGTTTTTGTGTGTGCGTGCATATGTGTGCATATACTGTGTGGTAGAGGCCATAGAAATTGTGAAATTAAATGATATGAGTAAGGTTGTGAAGCTTATGCAACAGCAGAGAGCAGAAATAAGAATATAAGTTCACCCTCAAAACTGCTTCCCAATGTAGAGAGGCAAGCACATCTGTGGAGTGAATTCACAGAGGAGATGAGTGGATCTCAGAGAGATTATGTGACCTGCCCAAGGTCAAACAGCTTGCAGGTCTAGAGACAGGACTCAAGCCAAAGTCTTCATTCTGACTCATTAATCTCACAACTCTTTCCACTATCCTCACCACTCTCGTCCAATTCCATCTGCTCTGTGAGGATAGTCAGGGTCTAGCAAGCATTGCTTGTTGTGATTTCGAATGATGTTATGTTGAGGCCCAATTTCTTGCACTGTGGACATTGTTGCAAGTTGAGGACTCTGTGGAGCTCATGAGAGGGAGGCTTTTGTGTTGTGGAGGAAATCTATGCTTGACTGAGAAGATTCCCTTCCAAGATCTGAGAAACAAGGAGAATATTCAGTCTTCTTACAGCAGTGAGCAACAAACAACTTTCTGCATGAGCAACAAATGACTTTCTGCAAACTTATCTTTTATCAAGATCCCAGATGGATAAATACAGAGGGAAATGACTCCAAATGTTACCAAACTCACAGAAGAGAAGATTAATGTGAGCTGAAAACATAATGAATTGGGTTGTTAATCATGGGGGGGAAAATGAGATGTACAGCAGCAGAGTGGAGTGGATGTGCATTTGGAATCCTGAGTTCCTTAAATGCCAGAGAATGCTAAAGAAGGACCCCTAGGTTTTCTAAGTCATTCATCAACAGCTCATTTCATTTCCAGTGAAAGTGCCTTTCCTTTCATTTTTTTTCCCCTCTTCAAAACCATTACTGACATTTGGGGACTCTAGGAATTATCTAGAAGGGAAAGAGAAAACATAAACAGGTGTGGAAGGGAAGACACTCAGAGAAAAAAGAGAGGAGCAGGAGGACGACAAGGCAAAGGATGCCAGGAGGAGAGCACAGGGAAGACACAGGAGGTAGGAGAAGAGAATGCAATTGGAGAAAATAAAGGGTTTCAACATCAAGCAAGTGACTTCCACCCACTAGGTAGATACGATCAGCCTAAAACCTTCTAAAAGGTGGCAAGCCTTTTTCGGCAAGAAACGTCACATTTCTCCTGAAATTGATTAGAATAATTTATCTGTCGAAAGTCTTCTCTAATTCAGACTATAAGCTCCATGAGGGTCGCGACTCTCTTCTGCCTCCTGCGCACAACAGCAAGCAATTGCAAAGTGGAAAATACACTGAGTTTGTACCCCAGCTTTAATCCTTATTAGCAGTGTGCTCTTGAGGAAGTTTTGAAACCTCTCCCAACTTCATTTCCCTTATCTTTGTACAGAGATTATAAAAGCAACTAATTGCAATGCTGATTTGAGAATTATATGTGATAATCTATGTAAACCACTTAGCACAGTGCCAAATAGGTAGTAAGGGCCTGATGCTTGTCAGCTATCATTAGTATCATTAGTTACATTCCTAACATAGGAGTATAGGTTCATAGGTTGTATAAAGAAGCAACACAATATTGGAAGTCTAGTTGTGTTTTTTCTTCTGTAGGCCAGTTATTTTTATTAATATTTTCACATAAACATGGGCTCATCAACTATCTGCTGATTTTACATGTCAACTCTGTGAACTTTGAAAGGGTCATTTGAGTGCAGGCTCCTAGGAGCAGGAAGGAATAATGAAACTCTTTCTCAGTAGGCTTTTCTAAACTTAGTCATGGTTTCTACAGAGTGATCTGTCCAATGGTTATGGTCACAGATAAGAAATGTTTAGGACACATCTCGAATTCTCTACATCAGATGGCAATCCCTCTTGAGATAGGATCTGTCATGCCTCAAATGGCCCACCTAGGAACTGGATGGAATACTTATTAGGAATACAAATACAGAGTATCCCTTGTTTTCAAAGAGGTTGGATTCAAACTAAGTGGTGCATTTTCTCTCTATGATGTTTGATAAAAGAAGAATAAAACCTTCTGGGATTGGTTAGATTGCTGAGGCACTGTGACTCAGTCTCTAGAGCCTTAATCCTCAGCCAAGGTAAACTGACAAAGAATGCAGGATGTAGAGAACTGAACCTTTGGATGTTTCTCTGGTCGGAATATATACGTCCCCCACAAATCAATATGTTGAAATAGAATCCCCAATGTGATGGTATTTGGAGGTGGAGTTTTTGAGAGGGGATTAGATCATGAGGGCAGAGCCCTCACGAATGGAATTAGTGCGCATATAAGAGAAGCCCCAGAGAACCCCCTCTCCCCTTCTGCCATGTAAAGACACAGCGAGAAGATGGCCATCTATAAACCAAGAAATAGACCCTCACCAGACATCAAATGTTCCAGCACCTTGATTTTGACTTCCCAGGTTCCAAAGCTGTGAAGAATAAATTTCTGTTTTTTAGAAGCACAATTCGACTAAGACAGATGTCCAGGAGGCAGACAGCAAGGTCAAAGATGTCACATCAAGGTCATCCTCACTAGGGAGGGTGGAATAGCTACTTTTCCACTTCATGATACTGAATTGCCAGTTTCCAAGGAGATGATAAGTGTGACATTGTCTTAAATTGCTGGATAGGTTCACAGTGGCTGTTGAAAAAGGAAGATATGGGGAGAAGTGGCTCAGGGAAAAAGAGATGGATATTCTCCTGACACTGGCTATCATCTGGCAGAGGACAGAGCTAAAGAAGAGCCTGGAAATCTGAAATTCCCTCCTGTTCTACCTGGAATCAAGCCTATATTCTAACCCAAGGAAGTAAACAAACTATGCTGCTGGGCATGAAGAATGCCTCCTTACTAACTTCAGAGTCAGTGGTTAGGACATAAAGGAGGGCTGGGGTCACCCTGGTGATGGCAAAAACAGAACAGCAGTCACTGTTTGTCCTTCTGAGAAGGAACAAGACCTACTAAAGGGACATCCCAAATTAAACAGCATCTTTTCTACCTCCTAACTCTCCCTCTGTAGTGCTTGACTCACTGGACTAACTTTTCCTCATTCACGCATTCCTTTTAAGTATGTCCAGGTCAACCAGGAAGCCATGGGATTTCTGCAAATGGTGTTTGGGTACGGGCTGTGCCCCACAAGTGGAACATTTTCTCTTCAGACTCATGTCTTACATTTTCCTGCCACAGAGGTTTCTGAGCTCTAGCAATTAGTATCAAGGTTGGGCGGCAACCCCAACAGATACTGTTTCCAGAAGAAACAAACAGTGCATTTAGCGGGATGTTCATTCAGTGAGAAGATAGTTCATTCAGTGACTGATTAACACCTCTGCCTTGCTTCTCATTTCTGCATTCTCACAATTAAAGGATACTCAGAGACATTCAAAGATTCTAGCCCTTTTACTAACCCTTTTGAGATAGCTGAGTGTACCAATTCAGAAAGAAATGCCAGATACAAAAAATTCTTCCAAATACGATCTGTGAAAATTTACAGGAGGATTTGATCAAAAAGCAAAAAAAAAAGGAAGAAGTTCTTTTGATTTACAACACAAAATTCAAACCAATGGGGAAGGTGGGAACTCTTACGCTCAATTATTTAAAAATTAAAACTTCTGTATGGCAAAAAGTTAAGGCCATACACAAAGGCAAAGAGCAGATTGCAAAACAAAGGGTAAGTTTTTTAATATACAAAAAGTCCTCACAAAAGAATGAGAAACTAATTCAATTTTTTAAAAAAAGAGAGAGCTGGGCCTGGTGGCATGAACCTGAAGTCCCAGCTACTCAGAAGGCTGAGGCATAAAGAATGCTGGAGCCCAGGAGTTTGAGTTCACACTGGGCAACATAGCAAGATCTTGTCTCTAGAAAAATAAAAAGAGAAAGGAAAGAAAAATGGACAGGAAAACAATATATACAAATGACAATGTATACGATGTATACAGTATAAACCATAGGAAAATATCCTTGCCAAGCACAGTGGTTCACACCTGTAATCTCAGCACTTTGGGTGGCCTAGGAGGAAGAATCACTTGAGCCCAGGAGTTTGAGACCAGCTTAGGCAACACAGTGAGACCTCCACAAAAACCAAAAATAATAGCTGGGTGAGGTGGTGTGAACCTGTAGTCCCAGCTACTTGGGAGGCTGAG